AATGTAACTTCTCTATGATGGGTCTTTCAAACTTAGTGGGGTTTGATTCATATTTGGAGTTTCATTATACGTGTCATTTGTTAGCTTGGCAACCAGGGTGGTGGAACATCTGTAAACAAAATAATTGTTAAAGGCATTTGCTACATCTAGGGGGTGTTGCTGGGTTTGGTTGTCATTTTGACAGTGGAGGGTTGGGAGTGGATTGGGGGAGTTTGTAAGTTATTTCTAATTTTCCAAAAATGTCTAGGGTTTGAAATGTTATTGTTCAGATTTTCACTGAAATATTGGGCCTTGGACAATTTTTCTTTGTTTTGTGCATATATTTCGCCATTGTCTAGGCACAGTGATCGTTCATGGAGCCAGTAGGCTTGAACTTTGACCACAACGAATCTCTAAACTGGTACATTTAAATGAGGTCAGCTGTGATCCAATTCATATGTGCCCCATTTACCCTCACCTCACACAGCGGGGTAAGCAAATTCCAAACTTGTAGTAGTCAGACTGAAAGAATTGAATTACAGAGTCTAGATCTGGGATTAGGTTTAATCTGTGCTATAGGAGGTTCTTGATGTCATTTAGAAAGCATTCAAGATGACATTTCTTGAAGGAATTGGTGATTATAACTTTGGGAGAGGATTTGGTAGACTTTATTTTGCGCATGCAGTACACTAGGAAATGGTCACCGAAACTGTTAGGGAGAACACCTGCCTCCTGGATTCTATCAGGAGAAGTGGAAAAAATCCAATCGAGCAGGGTATGATTTTGGCTTTTAATGTTTCTGAGAGTTGGGGAGGAAATTAATTGCGTTAGCTGCAAAGTCTTAAACAGTGAGCAATAACTATTATTTTTAGGATTCAGACAATCAATATTAAAATTTTCAAAGACCAACTGTTCACTTTTTGGGATTTGAGCTTTGGTTGGGGGTAGGGTTAGGATTTTCGGAAGTGCCGAACCGAACCAAATTTTTTGCCCATGCACATCCCTAATTTTGATACTCTCCACCAGCACTAAGCAGATAAATTAAAGCAACAGAGGAGGCCATGATGTATAAGAATTTGGTTTTCAGTTTGTGGTGAGTGGTGCTTAAGGAGGTAGTGGTAGGAACATGACTGTAGTGTGATATAGTAAAAAGGAATCTTGATACGGTCAAATTTGGAGTCATGTTAGAGGTATGTACAGGAGGGGTGGAGATGAAAACAATAAAAAACAAAATTGTTACAAATAATGCAAATATGGTGAGAGAGTAGTACTTACTTACACTACACACATGGCTAGGTACAGAACTTCTATGATTCTGCGCACTTATTGAAACTTGGCACTTGATGGATAGTGACATACAGGTGGAATGTGAACTGTGCTCCCCTCGGTTTGGGTTAACCACCACGCACACCAGATTCGGATGCCGCTTTGGAGGTGACAACAGGAAAGTATAAATTTGAGGAAGTTTTGGATAGCAATGTCACTTTAATTATAATTTTCATTTGCTATAGAACAGATATACGATATGCATTGTGAGTATATATCAAAGCACTATCACTGTTTTTTATTTTTTTGAATTGTGCTTATCATGTTAATTTTGCATTATATATATTCACAATTCTCTTACAACAGATGATTTAAATACATTTTAGCTCATCAGCACTACCACTATTTAACTTGTCTCCCATGTTGGAATAAGTGTAGGACCCACCGATACTGGGGTACTGTGGAGTAGTGGTGGGTTTAACATGATACGGTCATATGGTGGAACTGAATCTCCATATTTCTTTGCTGAGATAGTTGGCTTTAACCCCTTAAGGACACATGACATGTGTGACATGTCATGATTCCCTTTTATTCCAGAAGTTTGGTCCTTAAGGGGTTAAGTAGCTTTATAAAATGTAAAACTGTATTTTTGTGTGTGTGTTGATCCGTAATATTCTCTCTATGGCAGCACTTTTGCTGAGAAATGCATGTTTCGGGTGTGCCCCCAACCCCTGCTCCCCCCATTTCGTTTTTCTTTAGAACGCAATTAGTGGCAGTGGCAGGCTTTCTCTCCCTCATTTTATACACATGTTGTACGGCTAAGACACACAGTAGAAGCTGCAGGAATCTGTATCTAAGGTAAACTGTGCAATGTTGTGGAGCTCCCAATTTTGCAGAATATAATACTGTTAGTTTTTTATATTTAGTCACACACATAACCTTGCCCTTGAGAACCAAAAACAAAGAGTTTGTTAAACATTTCATATCAATACAATGGAATTCTATATCATTCTGTATAAATATACATCTGAGAGTTAGAGAGGTTTAAATCACACAGCTGTGAAGGGGCCGGGATTATAATGATGTCTCTGCATAGGTCTCCCTGATGTCATTTGGGTGGGTCAGCCATTTATTCCTGGAATACGCAGTGCAGGGGGAAAACATTTAAAGATCCAGAGATATAAATTAAGTATTGCATCTTTACTCAAGTAACAAGATGCCTCCTACGTTCCTGTGTTCCATACCCTCCCTAAAAAACAACCCAACCACCAGTACTGAACCAGCACAGCCCATCTAACTACCAAAATATGTCACACATGGCAACAGGCTGGAGGGAAAAAGCCACAACCGGCCACATTTACCGGTATTTCCAATTAAAAAGGCATCCAGCAAAAAACATTCAAACAGAACGTATGTAAAATAAATAACTTTATGGTGGCGGCGCTGAGGGACTGGCTAAACTCCTCGGCCCACAAGAGGATGCGACTCAAGTCGAATTCTGCAGTGGAGGACCTATTGCATCTGCCCAAACAGAGGCATAAAGGACAGCAAGGGAGATCTTTGCCCTAACTAACTGAATCAGGCCACTGCCCAAGAGGGGGTAAAGCCTGGCCACCTTACCATTGCCACTCCCATCTATCTCTGCTATCTCTGCTACCATGTGCAAAGCTACATCCTCCCACCACAAGAGAGCCACTGTCCTGTCTCCACCCAGTAGGAAAAAACAGCCTGGTTAAACCTTGCTGTCCCTAAGTCCAACAAAAACAGATTTGAACCAGCATCATTGAGGTGTACGTACCCCATCAGGCCTAAAATATTCCAATGGAATAATAAAACCGTACAGCTCAACTGCCGCCTGTCCCACCAGCCTGATGACTTTCTTACAGCCCCTATAAGCCATGTCCAGGGAAGAGAAATGAGAAGGCACTGCGGCATTTGGGTCACCCAATCTTCACGCCTGGCAACCAGAGGAGAAAAGTCTTGCCAAATCCAGCACCAGAACAGCAACCAGATCATTGCACCCTATCTCGCCTGTGCATCCTGTAACAAGGCCAGAAGCTCAGGCCAGCATAGACCTTGACTCCCCAACCATCTGACAGACAATGAGAAGCATCAAACCCAGATTATTTTCCAGAGGGTAAGTGAGTAGACAAAGAGAAGCCCAGTGGATGAATACGTTTTCTGGTAGTTAAACCTGAAGTAAAAAGAAAAAGTTTAAAACAAGTGGACAAACAAGAGGCGCACTCCGTAAGAGGCCCCGCCCTTCGCGTCTAGCACAGAAAACAAGGGGCGAACTTATGCCAGCAGTGACTGCACTGTCCTCTAGAAATGACTGTACTGCCCTCCAGAGGTGACTGCACTGACCTCGAGCAGTGACTGTACTAACCTCCAGAGGTGACTGCACTAACCTCGAGCAGTGACTGTACTAACCTCCAGAGGTGACTGCACTGACCTCGAGCAGCGACTGTACTGCCCTCCAGAGGTGACTGCACTGACCTCGAGCAGTGACTGTACTGCCCTCCAGAGGTGACTGCACTGACCTCGAGCAGTGACTGTACTACCCTCCAGAGGTGACTGCACTGACCTCGAGCAGTGACTGTACTGCCCTCCAGAGGTGACTGCACTGACCTCGAGCAGTGACTGTACTAACCTCCAGAGGTGACTGCACTGACCTCGAGCAGTGACTGTACTGCCCTCCAGAGGTGACTGCACTGACCTCGAGCAGTGACTGTACTAACCTCCAGAGGTGACTGCACTAACCTCGAGCAGTGACTGTACTGCCCTCAAGAGGTGACTGCACTGAACTCGAGCAGTGACTGTACTTACCTCCAGAGGTGACTGCACTAACCTCCAGCAGAAGAAACTGTACTGCCCTTCAAAAGGTCCCTGGTTGTTTTTACAATTCAGACGTTTTCCAATATATGTTTTATTTGTTTGGATATATACAGCATTTATCTTCTTGCTATCTTTGACTAATGACAGTGACATGTTTAGGGGTCAGTCCCTCCCAGGGTCACAGTGTACTAATGACAGTGACATGTTTAATGGTCAGTCCCTCCCAGGGTCACAGCGTACTAATGACAGTGACATGTTTAATGGCCAGTCCCTCCCAGGGTCACAGTGTCCTAATGACAGTGACATGTTTAATGGGCAGTCCCTCCCAGGGTCACAGTGTACTAATGACAGTGACATGTTTAATGGGCAGTCCCTCCCAGGGTCACAGTGTACTAATGACAGTGACATGTTTAATGGGCAGTCCCTCCCAGGGTCACAGCGTACTAATGACAGTGACATGTTTAATGGTCGGTCCCTCCCAGGGTCACAGTGTCCTAATGACAGTGACATGTTTAATGGGCAGTCCCTCCCAGGGTCACAGTGTACTAATGACAGTGACATGTTTAAGGGTCGGTCCCTCCCAGGGTCACAGTGTACTAATGACAGTGACATGTTTAAGGGTCGGTCCCTCCCAGGGTCACAGCGTACTAATGACAGTGACATGTTTAATGGTCGGTCCCTCCCAGGGTCACAGCGTACTAATGACAGTGACATGTTTAATGGTCGGTCCCTCCCAGGGTCACAGTGTACTAATGACAGTGACATGTTTAATGGTCAGTCCCTCCCAGGGTCACAGTGTACTAATGACAGTGACATGTTTAATGGTCAGTCCCTCTCAGGGTCACACATTGTACTAATGACAGTGACATGTTTAATGGTCAGTCCCACTCAGGGTCACACAGTGTACTAATGACAGTGACATGTTTAAGGGTCAGTCACTCCCAGGGTCACAGTGTACTAATGACAGTGACATGTTTAATGGTCAGTCCCTCCCAGGGTCACAGCGTACTAATGACAGTGACATGTTTAATGGGCAGTCGCTCCCAGGGTCACAGTGTACTAATGACAGTGACATGTTTAATGGGCAGTCCCTCCCAGGGTCACGGTGTACTAATGACAGTGACATGTTTAAGGGTCGGTCCCTCCCAGGGTCACAGTGTACTAATGACAGTGACATGTTTAATGGTCAGTCCCTCCCAGGGTCACAGCGTACTAATGACAGTGACATGTTTAAGGGTCGGTCCCTCCCAGGGTCACAGTGTACTAATGACAGTGACATGTTTAATGGTCAGTCCCTCCTAGGGTCACAGCATACTAATGACAGTGACATGTTTAATGGTCAGTCCCTCCCAGGGTCACAGTGTACTAATGACAGTGACATTTTTAATGGTCAGTCCCTCCCAGGGTCACAGCGTACTAATGACAGTGACATGTTTAATGGTCGGTCCCTTTCAGGGTCACAGTGTACTAATGACAGTGACATGTTTAATGGTCGGTCCCTTTCAGGGTCACAGTGTACTAATGACAGTGACATGTTTAATGGTCAGTCCCTCCCAGGGTCACAGCGTACTAATGACAGTGACATGTTTAATGGTCGGTCCCTTTCAGGGTCACAGTGTACTAATGACAGTGACATGTTTAATGGTCAGTCCCTCCCAGGGTCACAGCGTACTAATGACAGTGACATGTTTAATGGGCAGTCTCTCACAGGGTCACAGCGTACTAATGACAGTGACATGTTTAATGGTCAGTCCCTCCCAGGGTCACAGCGTACTAATGACAGTGACATGTTTAATGGGCAGTCTCTCACAGGGTCACAGCGTACTAATGACAGTGACATGTTTAAGGGTTGGTCCCTCCCAGGGTCACAGTGTACTAATGACAGTGACATGTTTAAGGGTTGGTCCCTCCCAGGGTCACAGTGTACTAATGACAGTGACATGTTTAATGGTCAGTCCTTCCCAAGGTCACAGTGTACTAATGACAGTGACATGTTTAAGGGTCAGTCCTTCCCAGGGTCACAGTGTACTAATGAAAGTGACATGTTTAACATTTTGTCCCTGCTTGGATGACATTTGACAAGTGACATTTTTAAGATATTACACTTTTCTAGTTTGCGAGTTGATATGACAATAGTGTCTCTGGCTTTCTCCATATGTGTTTTTAGATGTCAATGATGCTGGCAGTGAAGGGGTGCAGTATTTTGCTTTGATAGGCTGCTGGGGGAGATTAAGAGATCAGTCCCATTTCTGAGTCTCTTTGCTGGCTCGTGCTCCCATCTGTCTCTCTATCCTTTTCTCTGATGGGAGAGCTCAAGTGCTATGGATTCGTCCCCTGTACATCAAGGTTATCTAAAGAAATACGGTAAGAAAGGAGCACGATGACAATTCACAGATTGTATGGCAAGCATAGGCATGCATCTTGCATGGAATGTTCTCTATATATTGCATTAAATGGCCATGTGCAGCTGTCTGTGCAAGGCAGTAATCTTGGCATCTTATTATTACGCTATAAATTGCTTTAATAAATGCTATGCAGTACTGCTGACTGCCTGATGCTGAACGCAGTCCTGGCTGTAGTTCGGACGTGAGTGGTGGTACTCGAAACCCATGAGAACATGTAATGACGCTTATTCCAATGGTGATTTGGGGAACAAAAATTTAAAAACAGACCTTCTGCTGTTGAACTTCAAAGATATTTTGTATTATAGGGTATGTTATAAATAATAAAAATTCTCAATTCTAATTCTAGTCTTCAATGTATGTACAGTGTTCCAGGTACCATGCGTCCTCGTTGCAGTGTCCGTATGTTACATTTTCCTGCTAACCATTTACTGAATGTTTAGATTATGAGTTGCCTAAAAGATTAGTTTCAGCGTGAGAGATATAATTGTATTTTAATCCATGCAAGATGCGGGGAACACTGTGTAATCCTTACAGTAGATCCATGGACACAAGGTGGGATTTAATAAGAGGGTGATCGGACCCCCTAGACCCTGTAGTGATAGACAGAGACAAAGTAAAAATATTGTCAATACAAAGAGAAAGAAGATAAATATGAGTCCATCTTAGATACGCCACGGGAAATTAATCCACGTTGACACATATTATCTTCTTTTCATTGCCGTTTAAGTAACTCCAAACAGAAATGTGGAATTCGGTATGTCGTGTTTGTTAATCTCTCTAAAAGGAAATCGCTTATAAAAAAAAAAGATGAAGGACAATTTCCCTGAGATTTTTATTTGTAATGGTCATTGGATATTCGTGAAAAAAGGATTTAATGTGCAAATATGGGAATGCCCCGTATTTGGTCAATTCTAACAATGTCTATATAGACGGGGAACATGTAAAGTGGATTCGCATTTTTATTTATTTATTGTCACTTTGCGACTTTTCCCACATAGATGATGGGGAATAGTGATGCGATAAAATGATAAAAACATTTTATTTTATGTCTCTTTTATTCCATCATTTGTAGTACAATAATTAAATCCATTTTTAGTTAGCAGCCACTGGCACACTGCCACCGATGGCTATAGGAACTACTTTATACTGACAACTTTTTTCAAACAAAAATTACTTTTAAACACGAGATAGCCAGTTCTTAGACTATAAGCTGTTATCATTTAATATGACATTTTTAAAAATATATATGTGAAAGTATTCCAGCACTATATAAATCTATGTTCTTTAGGATTATGTCACAGGAACAGATAATTCTTTACTTTCACTGTTATTTGTCATTAGTTTTGTCATTAGACTAGATTAGCAATATGACCCTGGTTTTTATTCCATAATACAGAAATAGAAAGCACTGCCCGAAACATGGATTGCTTAATAGCTGGTGCCATCCGTTTTTACAAAATACACCAAAATGAATCAGCACACACCCATATGAAATTGAATGGTTGAATAGCACTTAAAAACACCTACCTTGCTTGAAAATGATTGGGCTTCATCAGATGATATGCTATACCCTTATAATATTGTAAAGCGCTACGGAATCTGTTGGCGCTATATAAATGGCGATAATAATATAATGTGCTAGGCTTTCCACTAGGTAAAAAATATTGGAATATTCGCTCAATGAGAATTTTTGTTTAAAAACACAATTTTAAGACATGACAGGTGGCTTTATATTTCACTAAAGTCTATTTACTGTCATCTCCAAACAGCAGAAAAAACTGCATTAATCAACCAATTGGCAAATAGGATAATGTCTGTATAAGGCAGCACCCTAGGAGATTACTTAAAGGAGCACTATAGGGTCAGGAACACAAACATGTATTCCTGACCCTATAGGGTTAAAACCACCATCTAGCCACCCTGGCCCCCTCATGCCTCCCTAAATATAGTAAAATCTTACTTGTATTCAAGTCTGGAGCTGCTTACTTTGCCACTATTCCCTTTGACCTGCCCACTGCCTGCTGACATCAGGTTCCTTATAGGATTGTCTGAGACTGACAAGGAGGCAGATCAGGGGCAGAGCCAGCATGATTCAAACACAGCCCTGGCAAATCAGCATCTCCTCATAGAGATGAATTGAAACAATGAATCTCTATGAGGAAAGTTCAGTGTCTGCATGCAGAGGGAGGAGACACTGAATGTTTGGATGCATTTTAGGCAGCCATGACCCAGGAAGGATCTCTAACAGCTATCTGGTGAGTGGCCAGTGAAGTTATCATTAGGCTGTAATGTAAACACTGCATTTTCTCTAAAAAGACAATGTTTACAGCAAAAAGCCTGAAGGTAATGATTCTACTCACCAGAACAAATTCAATAAGCTGTAGTTGTTCTGGTGACTATAGTGTCCCTTTAATCTTTCCTTATTGTTTAGCTTACAGCAACAGAAGTATTGTGCTCATGGTGAGTTCTATGGCCAAGAGTGGTGGTGACCCTGGGAAGAGAACTTAAAAAAGGGTTATAGTCTGCCCAAGATAAAATGCTTAATATTACTAGGCCATTTTATACACATTTTGTACTTGGCAGATAAGGCTCAATCTGCGTCATCGTACTTGGACCTGAGCAGCATCAGGGAATAGGCACAGCGCAAGAGCCTTTTGGTAAAAGCCAATGTTGCAATGTCATCTGAAAAATGCAATACAGCTCTGCTTCGCCTGGAAGCTGGGAGAATTAGGAACTAAGGAGTTGAATGCAGAAGTCAAAGGACTCTTATTCGTTGATGAATTTGCAAAGCAACTGCATTAGCATGTGGACTTGTGTAATTCTCTGAACAAGACCCAGATGCCAACGAGGCGTGTATTCCCGGAACGCGCAGAGAGTTTTTCCAGGGCTTCAAAGCAGCAGGGTTGTGCCTCCTGCCACTTCTTCCCCAACAGGCTACTGACATACTTTCTGGTGGTTTTCTCACACACCCCTAGTGCTAGATATCTTTCATGGTGGGTAGCTTACAAGGGACACAGCACAAGAGGTTTAGGAATGTCCAAATACCCCCAGGTAATCCCTAAGGGGATATAGGTTTTATTTATTTTCCAATTCCTAGGCATATTGCCAATTTGTTTCTAAAACTGGGTGTTTTTCTCAGATGTTTGGGTTTTACAGTCGGTGATTTATGTGATTTTCTTAACAATTGGTTTCAATTAAGTTTTGTCATTGGTGGGCTCTCATTGGGAATGATGTCTGCATCAGGCAAGTCAAGGGGGTAATAGGATTGATGCCACATTCCAGGGGGATGGGACAACATCTTTCTCTTGAGGAGGATGACAGGGAGCATTGGCAAGGATGGTGGGCATTCTGTCATCCTCAATTCAGACCATCTTCGAAGAAGCAAGTGATGCAACATCTACCTGCAAATGGCTCCCTTCTACAAGCAGGTGGTACAACTCACACCAGATGTTCATTCCGAACTTCAGTGGTGACTTCTCCACATGCAGGTATAGAACAGCAGAGCTATTTTCGCGTATCATCCAGGTTTCATATGGAATCTGATGCCAGCCTATGGGATTGCGACACTACAGGAGGAGGCCAGGCCATGGGTGGTCTTTGTCTGATTTAGGAGTTGACCATCATATTAATTGTCTGGAGTTGATCGTCAGTTCCTTTGCGATCTGCAGCTTGGTGAGGGAAGTGAGAGACTGCTGCAATCTGCTGCGCATGAACAATTTGGTGGTCTGATACATCAACAAGCTTGGAGGTGCTCATTTATTCATAGTTTCTCTAATCATTTATAGTGTCATAGTTGCCTTACCAGTTCTGTTTTCAGAGGTATATTTGGCTGCAGGTAGTGAATCTTCCCGGAGTGACCAACATTACCGCAGTTTTCCCATCACTGGGGAATGCAATTAATTGTATGCTAGACAAGACTTTCTTTTCCCATTTGGACATTCTCCAAAGCCAATTGAATCTAAAATTGGGTTTGTGGGCTCTTGGAACCCGGAAATGTTACATCAGTGCTTGAAACAGTTGGTGTAGCTGGTTTCCGGCGAGGGATTTTCAGCCTATTTCTACGTGGTGTTGAATTTCTTATCTCATTTTTATTCAGAAGAAATTTTATGCTGAGCAATTTTTTTCACTCAGCTATTTCGGCAGCTCGGATGCCGACTGATGGCATTTTGGTGGGGTTACATTATTTGCCATGTGCTTTTAGAGGTATCCAGCTTACCGAGTCCTCAGTCTAGATACTCCCAATTTTGGGATGTTTCCCTGCTTCTACGGTTTCTTAAGACTTGCCAGTCTAAGGATTCTTTGGGTGTTTTTGGCAACTGTCTGCCAAGCTAGCTTTATTCATTTGTTTGATGTTGTTTAGTCATGTTTCAGATGTCAGTGCTTCGATATTTTATCAGGTTTTTTTCTTGAGGAACCTCAGTTATGTGTTGTCACCTGTTTCTCCAAATATCTGCTGATTACCACCCCTCTTCAGAGCTCTACATTGAGTGAACTTCTTATTTCTCATGTCCATCCTGTGTCTTTAAGTATTTTAGCCCAGTGGGTGTTGCCCTATTTTCCGACATGCATTTCGTACAATGCACAGCTGCATCATTTTCGAGTCTTTGCAGGCTAATCTCTCTTGGGGTCTGCTGATTGGTTTAGTGGGTCGACATTACACATTTTTTAATTAAGCTCTCTCTTACCCACTTTTTTTCTCTTTTAGCATCAAAAGAGCAACTCATGGAGTCTCGAGTCATGCCTTAAAATTGTAAATTTTTTGAGTCTTGGTATAGAGAGAATCCTAATTTTAATAAAGACAGGAGGCAAATATTTTTCTTGTCCATCCTTAAGGGGTTTCTTTCAATTTTTTGTTTTCTTTGCGCTTCTGCGTTTCTACTTCTTTTACCTTGTTTTGATTGTCTCATTGGTGTTTTTTATGTTTATGTGGGGATATCCATATGGTTCCCAAATTGTCATGTGTCCCTTTAGATGTTTTTCATGATGTGTGTCCTATTGTGTGGTTGGTATCATAACGTTCACAATGTTTTTCTTTCTCTCCTAGTTTAACATGGATTTCGGTCGTTGGATTTACCATCCACTTCAAAAATATTGGTTGGATTGTCGTTGTTGAAATTTTTTCAGATTCTTCTGGTTATTTGTTTCTTCCTGATACTTTATGTCTTCACTTCAAAGAATGAGAAACTTGTGTCATAAGGTGCTGCTTTATATAGACTCTACTTGTTGCCTATTAGTTGTTTTGACTATGATGTTTTTGCTGCTGTTTGGACATGACCATAAAGAGAATACTGGAAAATATTTGCAAAATAGATTATTTCTACACCAAGGCTCAAATAATCTATAATTTCCGGTTAACATAACATTTTGTTGATAGTTTTCCTTTAAGAGCTCAGTATTTTAAAACAACATTGGTTTTGAAATGTGTGAATGTTTAAACCCTCTGTACACAAGTAGTAACTTACGTTAAGACCACAGATACAATACACAGAGTACAGTGTCGATTGCTGCTAGACATGTTGCCGGACATGGTAAACTGGTAGCACCCAGACAATCGTGTTGCAGGCCATGGTAAACTGGTAGCACCCAGACATGTTGTTAGGGTTGCCACCTCTTATGGAAAAAATTACCGGCCATGCTAATTTGCATAATTAATTATATATGCGTGACATCACAGGACACAATGTACATAAGAGAATGAGAATATTTGGAAGGAGAATATTCCCTAAATCACTAATAAACTACTTACAATGTGTGTACTTTGACTGCGTGCATAGTTTTGTGTATGTGAGGCAGAATGTGTATATACTGTCTGAATGAGTGTGTGCACAGTACAGTGCTTAAAACACACACAGGTACCTGCTGTCGGGAACTTCTGCTGCCAGGCTTCCATGATGCTTACATTGCTGTGTACTGTAGCTTCTGCTCCTCACACTCATCCCGAGTGGATTCAGACTGATGAATACATACACACACAGACTGCTGAATACATACCCACAGACTGCTGAATACACATGTACAGACTGCTGAATAAATACCCACAGGCAGCTGAATACATACACACAGACTGCTGAAAACACACACACTGCTGAATACATACACACACACTGCTGAATACATACACACACACTGCTGAATACATACACACAGACCGCTGTATACACATACACAGGCTGCTACATACACACACACAGGCTGTTTAAAACACACACAGGTACCTGCTGTCAGAACTTCTGCTGCCAGGCTTCCATGATGCTTACATCGCTGTGTACTGTAGCTTCTGCTCCTCCCACTCATCCCAAGCGGATTCCATGCTATCTGTGAAGAGGCAGGGACATGCTGTGCCTTCTCCACACAGCTCAGGCATCGATGAGTCTTCTTGCGCGTCCCAGCAAACTACATGCACCCCGGTGGCCTGTGCCAATATTGCAGAACTTTATCCTCACAGAAAAATACAGGCAATTGTATTGTCGGTATATTTGCAAAACTGGCATCGGCCACAGAGCATAAAATAGCGACCAGGTGGCAACCCTATGATGTTGTAGGTCATGGAAAGCAAACACTTCCACACATGTACACACAGACATCCATGCTTGTTATCACATTCTGGAGAACACAAACACAGATATAGAGAGATACATTCACACATTGGCACACACTGACAAACACACAGATACACACACACTGAGTACACTGATGCACACACACTGACACACACACAGAAATAAAGAAAACATATATTTTTAATTCATCCGCCTGTTCCCATAACTTTTAGATACACAAGAGTGACTTCCCTGGATTCCAGTGGTAACTGGTTGCAGCAGGTGTGAGTAGTTTTGGCCAGGGCAAGATTTTCCACAAGGGGACCTTAGGCAGCTGAATATTGCCTAGATATCAAACAAGGGCTCTGGAACCAAGAAGGAATTTGTTTCCTAGCTTGTTGCAAAATTGGAAGTGCTTCAAACTGGGTTTTTTGCCTTCTTTTGGATCAACAGCAAAAAAAAAATGTGAGGTAGGCTGAACTTGATGGACACAAGTCTCTTTTCAGCCATGTAACTATGTAACTAATAATTTGCGTATCATCCCTATACAGAAAATGTGGGGAGGGGCAATTGGTAACTTGGCTTGGGCCCTTTGGGATATTTACCCTTCTCTGACTGGGGCTGATTGTGGTGGACTGGTCCATTCTCTCTCTCTTAATATTACCTACTTTCCTTCTATCTCTTCTGCCTTTCTCCCCTCCTCTCTTTGGCTGTGGTCAGTGGTCCTGCATAGCTCAGTGGAGCTGACTGTATTCTCCGGCAATGAGAGTCTGAAGTAGGCAGCATAAACCCAGGAAAATTATCAAACTGTTCAAACTGTGGGGGCACAATGCTTAATCAAACCAATAACCCTAAACCAGTGATGGCTAAACATGGCACGTTAGATGTTTGTGAACTACATTCTCCATGATCCCCACCCTTTAGAAATATATTGTAAGCTGTCATGTTTTGGAAAATAAGCTCGTAACATATTAAAGCAATCTTCTCTCCCCCAGGCGGGTTCATTTTCAAGCAGTGGAAGGAGCGTTACATTCATCTTAGCAAGGATGGTAGCCTCTTCGTGTCACGAGACTTAGACTCTCCTCCTGAGCTGGAAGTCTCTCTGCTCTCCCGCTGTCAAGCAGTACTGGAAGGACCAGATTTGGGGGACATGCCTAAACTTCCTGTGGGGACCCAAAAGGACTGCTGCCTGGGGCTCTCGTTGAATGATGGAAGGAAACTCCTTCTCCTGGCCCGAGATTCACAGGACTGCAGGTATCCAGGACTCTGACAGAGAGCACAACAAGGACACTAACAAAGGTCACAGCCAATGTATGCACAATGTCAATATGCTTGGAGATTAGAATAAAGAAACACCATTAGAAATAAAATGCCAATGGCCTAATATATCACTAATTAGCCAAGAATCCATGAAAACAATATCACTGAGATAAATATCCAAAGGCATAACACCACATGAAACATAAGAATATCCCAAAGGTGTTATTTCACATGACATATAATATCACTCTAGGACATATGATAGGTACTCATGCACTAATATAAAAAAAGACCATTCCTAAAGGCCTATTATCATCAGATATCCTAATGGTCTAATATCACATGACCTGATAATATCAATATCTTAATTGATTAATTTCACATGACCTAATAATATCAATAACCTAATAGTCTAATATCACATGACCTGATAATATCAATATCCTAATGGTCTAAGATCACATGGCCTAGTAATATCAGTAACGTAATTGATTAATATCACATGACCTGATATTATCAATATCCTAATGGTCTAATATCACTTGAACTGATAATATAAATATCCTAATGGTCTAATATCACATGATGTAATAACATTAATATCCTAATGATCTAATATCACATGACCTAATAATATCAATATCCTAATGGTCTAAGATCACATGGCCTAGTAATATCAGTAACGTAATTGATTAATATCACATGACCTGATATTATCAATATCCTAATGGTCTAATATCACATGAACTGATAATATAAATATCCTAATGGTCTAATATCACATGATGTAATAACATTAATATCCTAATGATCTAATATCACATGACCTGATAATATCAATATCCTAATGGTCTAATATCACATGACCTAATAATATCAATATCCTACCAGTTTAAGGTCACATGGCCTAGTAAAATCAATATCCTAATGGCCTAATATCACATGACCTAACAATATCAGTATCTTAATTGATTAATATCAGACGACCTGATATTATCAATATCCTAATGGTCTAATATCACATGACCTAATAATATTAATAAACTAATGGTCTAATATCACATGATCTACTTATATCAATATCCTAATAGTCTATCACATGACCTCATAATATCAATAACCTAATTATCTTATATAATATAACATAATAATATCAATATCATAATGGTATAATATCACATGACCTAATATTATTAATATCATAATGGTCTAATACCACATGGCCTAATATTATTAATATCATAATGGTCTAATACCACATGGCCTAATATTATCATAATGGTCTAATATCACATGGCCTAATATTATTAATATCATAATGGTCTAATATCACATGGCCTAATATTATTAATATCCTAATGGATTAATACCACATGGCCTAATAATATCAATATATTAAGAGGCACTCCGCTGCCACCTAGTAAAAAAAATACTGTTTAGTAGATACACCCCCAATGTGTATATGCATGTATTAATTGGGGGTATATTTTAAAAGAGTTTGAAGAGGCTGTAGTTGTTATGAATTGCAGCTTTTGTAAGCCCTCTCCTTTTTTTCTGGAAGAGGCTTTAAGTTTCTGGCTTGGTGGTCATGTTCACGCGCTCCAATCTGCAACAGAGTATCTGGTCTGAGGTCTGTTAGGGAGGGAGGGGAAGGCATGCTCGCATAGGAGCTAGTGGAAGTAGGAAGGAATTCTCACTGGCTGTTTGACAGCCAGGGGGGAGTTCCCTAGTTTATAAAAGTGCTGAGGGTACTCCTCCAGGATACTGCTTTTGGGTTGTGTAGCAGAGCTCCCTGTACTCCTGCTGGGTACCTCCTCCAAGGACTAGCTGGAACAGGGAAAAACCTCAGCGCTTCTGCCCCAGTAACCGTGGCTTTACTGGGGTCCTCCTGGAGCCTCTCTGTCCTGGAACAGGATAGGGGACTAGCTTGATTCCCTCCCAGGGACTGGACGACACAGTTCTGGGAACTCTAGTCCTTACAGGGACTTTCCCCGCCGAATCCTCCATGAGCTGGAACAAGGTGCTAAGCAGTGATTATAGCCTCCTAGTGTAACAATACCTTACCTTTCCTCCTCGGACCCACGCAGCACGGCGTCTCTTCACTCACTTCTGGTGAGCGGCACAGCCCTTCTGACGATGGCCGCTCACAACGCTCTCCCATTTATGAAACGGCGCATGCGCGCCGTAGTCGGCAAGTAAATGCTGACGTAGTCCAAACGCGACCAAGCCTCCGGACCTTTTGGGGGCGTGGTTTTAAAGCTATAAACCCCACACTATATAACGGCGTCCCTGTCAGTTGTAAGGCACCCTAGTGTGGTTCCTGTTGGTTCCTCTAGTGCTTATATATTTCTTGAGTGTTTGTTTTCTGGTTATTGACTATTGGCTTTCCGTTTTGACTATTCTGCTCTCTGGTTCTCCGTATTTTGGCTAGGTTATATCGTTAATGCGTCTTCTGTAATCCCTTGACCTCTGGCTATCCCTTTGACTACTCTATAACGTTAGTCCGGCCACTCTAGGGTCCGGTATACGTCCTCCTCTGGGTTATACTCTGTGAGAAGGGGTCACTATCGTGACACCTAGTAACTAGACGACACATAGTTCTGGGAGTACAACTGGTATTATTCCTGCCCCACACACTTTTTATACATTGCCCCTAGCATGGGCTTTCTTAATCACAATTACAGGGCTTTTCTTCCCAAGATCCTCTGTGCCTGAGAGATAATTGCGTGAGAAAAACTATAACTCAATTATCTCTCAGGTACAGAAAAATCGACAATATTTTAAAACATCCAAAAATACATTTGAATAACTTCAGAACCCCATGAAAGCCATGTAACCGAATAGCTTGGATCTGAGTGCACACTTTGCCAAAATATTACTCAGATCCCTTTGGTGGTCGGGAACGCCATTCGAATTAATCTTTCGGGGGTTCTCACACGAACACTGATGAATCCTCCCTTGGTTGTTAGGATACGAATGCTCCCCCTCTTCAGTAGTTTATGCCTCCTGAATGCCTTTCTCCTAACTGTTAGAGAAGTTGGATGGGCAGCGATACAAGTTTACCAGGCAATCGCAGGTTTGTGTATCCAAAATTAGTTCCACACTTTTGATGACCATGTACCACTGCCCGTGTTTGGGAGACAAGATGGTCACCAATTGTTTAACCCCATTAAGGACACATGACATGTGTGACATGTCATGATTCCCTTTTATTCCAGAAGTTTGGTCCTTAAGGGGTTAAATACGTGCATTCGGTTGTACGAACTGCAGCCATACAGGGGAACACTTGAACTAATAACCAATTTGTGGTTAACAGCCAGGAGCGGTCGGTAATTAGAAGGTTCGAACAAGGGGACCACACGGAGTTGATTCGGTGAATGAACGAGGCCGTTCGGACAGCCGAACAAAATGGAATAAAAGTTTAGCTAGTGCATCCATTCCGCTACAGGGTGTGAAGTGGTCCTTTAATGGTCTGATGTCAGATGACCGAATAATGTAAACAGATTTTACTATTTGACCAACTGCTGCTCGACCTAACTTGCTGCTGCTGTGATTGCTTTGTGTGAAACTGTAGCAGCAGACAAGTTAGGTTGCGCAGTAGGTTTTCGGATAACAGTAGAATTTGACCAATTTTTTTTTTTTTTTAATTCATGATTTTTGAAAATGTCAATTAAATTACATTTCATAACTATCTCTTAATCACTTCATGTCATTGATATGGTTTAAAGGAACACTATACAAATCTGTATTCCTAACCCTTTAGTGTCCCTTTCCATAACTTAATAGGTCCTCCATCACTTACCTCTTTCCAGCACCAAGGCTCCATTGATGTTGGCCAGGTTTCCTCTCATGATGTCATGGCGATGGTGGGAGCTAATGCTCACCGAGAACGCATTAAAGCTTCCCCACAGGAAAGCAATGATTCAGTCCTTTCCTGTGGGGAATTTAAAAATGCTAGATGTCCTCATATCCAATGTTGTTTAATGGAGTAAAAACAGATTTGGAAGCACCTGTAGGGGCTGTTTGAAAGTCAGTCGCTAGAGGTGGAGTTAACTATGCACTGTAATCATTACAGATTCTCAGAAACTGCACTAGCCGGGTTAAACAGACGGGGATCACTGCATCCAGATCACTTTAATAAGATGGAGTGGTCTGGTTGCCTATAGAGTCCCTTTAATATCTTATTGCAGAAAGTCTGAAAGAACTAACATAAATATCAAAGTTGCTTCATTTTAAATGGAAGATGCAGCAGTTCTTATCGTGTAATATCAGATGATGGGGAATATAATATCTTACTTTGTACTGTATGATCTGTATAAACAGGACTCTGAAACTCTGAAAAAGGTTTATGCCACACAGCAGAAATACTGACAGGCATTGTTACAATTTACATTGTAGAATTTTTCTTATCACAAGTAGGAAATTAATCAACAAGACATTAACTTGTAACATTCTTTGCACAAAATAATTCCAATAATTTGCCCTTTAGTACACCACTTTATAAGAAATTGTTATGACAAAAGTTATGTTTTGAACATTGAACATTAAGGTTCCAGTGGTGCTCCAGCTAACCTGTCTGTGTGTGTGTGCGTGTGTGTGTGTGTCTGTGCGCAAGTGTGTGTAATTGTAACTGTCAAATAAACTGAAACATTTTTATAAAATGCACAAATATAAACATAATTACAATGTGATTTTGGTTTAATTCCTAATTTAACATTAAAATAAGAACACAGGTTTCTGGTGATCATGGGCTCTAAACTGATATTTCCATTATTTACAGCAAATGGATAAATATCCTCCGAAAAGTGAGAGAGGTGAGTGATATGATTCCCTGTACCAGCAGGTCTGTCGATGTATGAGGTAATAACTGGAATTAAGCCACAAGAACCCAAGGTCTTCCTAACACAACTTAAAAACTAACCGCTGGGCCCTCGAGAACCGTCATGGTTTTCACCCCACTGATGGAAGCCCTGGCTGCTTTTTATAGAATGTATGTGATGCATGTATACAGAATGTAGAAGTGTAGTTCTCTGCCTCTAGAGATTGTTTTACCAGATACTATACAGATTTGATTTTTTGGGGAAAAACATACTAATGACGGATGAAATAGTTAATATGTAGGTAAACAGACGTTAATTCAAGAAGACAGCTGACATTTTGTATTCACGAAGGAAGTTTTGGCAAAGTTGAAAATTGCTTCAAATTAGGAGTTTTTTTTCCCGATTTCATATCACCAACAGAAAGATAAATGTGTGAACGACAATCATGATCGAATTGAGCAGTTTTTTGAGCCTCTAATCTTATGTAACTGTATAAATGTCGATGGTTCCCATTCAATGTTAAGGCCAGTTAGCATTTTTCCTAACTGAATTTTTTATTGGGAAAAACAAACCTGATGTACATTATTTAAAATACCAACAAAATCTGTAACCTTTTTGGTACCATAAAAGTTGCAAAGAAAATGTCGGATGTCAGTCTTTTTTAGAATGGCTTGAGGATTGGACGATCAACATATTTTACTCCATTAATATACTGATGGAGCTTGTTCTCATTTTTATCTGGAGATTAAAAGAAACCAAGAAATCGGCAGCACAGGATGCAACAGGAGTCCTAACAAAACCCAGGTACATTCCACATTAAAGCATAGAATATAGAGCCTTCGCTTCCCGACAGCCACAGTAACAAGCCCTGTTAGTGGAATCGCAACTAGGATGACTCAGGCGTGAAACATAGCCATAAATTGTCCATAAATGCAATGTGAAATGTAAACCAAGGAATAAAAGAATGTAGGAGATGAAATCAAATGGTTTGTACAAGGTCATTGCTTCATAGTGACAAAGACGATAAAAGACAACAAATCACGACTCTTCCAGAATAAATTGAAAAGGTTCCAGGTTACACTAACACAAGCACTCAGTAAATCTAGGATACGAAGTATGGCATACAAACAATAACAAATGAGTCTAAAATGTCCCTTCTTAGGGCACCTGTATGCCCAAAACTACTTTAACTCTTAATAAAGATCGTGAAATGTCATTTTTACATTGTGCTAGAAATTTAACTAACAAAAGTATAGATTTCAACATATGTTTTCTGCCACCTGCCAATCAATTCTCTATCTCTTAGTCAAGTAATTGATTGTTAAAGGAGAGAATATACCACCCATATGTGGTCCTTCTACTCCCCACCCATAGCAACCACCACATGCTGTGATGCTATGGTAATTCAGTAGAAGGTGCTGCTAGCACTCGTAAGAGAGTACAGAAAGAGAGTCTCTGACATCACTCCGTTTAGAAACAGGCACCTCGCAATGAAGTCAGCATGTCGGCATCATGGAAGGGGTTTGCTCTCTTGGAGACGTGTCCCCAAGAAGGGCAAATAAGTAAAGAGACATGGTGGACAAGATACGAGTGTTAACAAAGTGTGAGATCGCAGCTAGCGGGGGGCAGGGGTCAGGTAAGTGTTCACAGGATTCCTTATCCTTACAGGAGGACTTAGTGCGAAACATTACAATAGGAGTCATATGATTTATAGGAGTTCCAGGACCTTCCTGGGAGTAATAAGCTAAAAGTGAAAATAGTGAGAATGAAATAAATAAAGAGTCCCTGAGAATTGCAGATCCTCATAAATTCTGGGAGTAGAGAAAACAAACAAAATAAAGCATAATAAACAACTGTTGCAAAGAATGTTTTTTTAAGAAAGTAATTTGGGCACCAAAGTCAGATATAAAATATATAACAACAAAAATAACCCTGGAAAAAGTATTTGAAAGGGAATGTACTGAAAACCTCACAGTAATCAATGTGGAGCAAGCAAATATGTGTCTTAAGCAAGTACAAAGTAAGGATGATAAAATAGAGCGAACAAATAAAACCAGATAAGGACACCCTGGAGAAGTCAAGGACAGAACAAGGGAAGTTATGAGATAAGAAATTAAAAAGAGAAGATAGGCCTGGAAACAAGGATGGAAATCTAAAACCAATTGTCATTAAAGTTCCCGTGCCATAGCCTCCTGGAGATGGTTGAAGGCTAGCCTCCTGCCCAGAGACCATGGGCCCCATCACCAGCATTAAAATGATGCATAGCATATGGGAGTACTTTGTGTTATTGTGAGGTTCACTCTTGGAGACACAAACAAATCTCGGAGAAGATACTTTCTTTCAGAACTCCAGACAGTATTCCCCCTGGGGATTTTCCTAGTTTGCTCAATCTCGTGGAAGAGCTATTGAAGGTTCACAGGTTCAGATCAAGGAAGTTGGAGGAAGATTAACAACATTCTTTCTGACCTGGACCATGACTATATCAGACTCTTGGTTATTAAAACTGATACAAGATGGATGCTCTCATGTATCATCATATAAGATCAGTCCTATGAAGTTACTCAAATGCAAAGCCCATCCAGCCCGGGTTATTATGAGCACCCTAGGATTCATGACTTTTTGTATAGCCCTTGTCAGATGGGCCTACTGGCACACCAGAAATCTACAGTTGGAGTTACTAAATTTGCCCAGAGTTATATTGGGATCAAAGAAATTTCCCAATCTATCTTCCAAAAAAGTGAAACACTCAAACAAAATGTGCAAAAACAGAAGCCAAAAACATCTAAATCAATTTAAATAAATTAAAGCACATTGATAAATCTATATTTGTTTTCACTTTGTGAAGATGTTCATTTGGCATTTTATCTTCCACCTCTCTCTTCCTATCCATGTCAGAGTCTATCCATGCCTCCCTTATCTCCAACAAGCTGCAGGCTTCATCCCAACTCCCCCATTAGAAGGTGTTGCTGGAGAGATGTTTCTACTCAGACCAAGGACAAGACCCAAGGAAAAGAAGGTAGGTGTCATCTCTGCAAAGTAGCTTTTTTTTGCATCCTCCAGCAAATCACTAATCTTGGGCTTTCTCTTTAGATAAAATGGCTCAGTATAAGGAAAAGTGTCCTGCTCGCTGCCTTCGTCACAGCTCTCAGTCCCACTGGGGAGTGAAGACAGCATGTGTGCTCATGGGAGAAGCTGCAGCTGGTCCAACACTTGCTTACATGGTGACTACAAGTCACAGTGCTCGCCCAGCCGAAACTACTTCTACCCCAGATTATCGAGGGCTGGGCTACAACCATTCTTCTGACATAGAGGGATGTCAGTACGATGTGGAGTTTGAAGGCATGGACCAGGATTACAATGCCTTTGACTTTGGTGGTTTTGCCTTTTGAAACTTGTTTCGATTGTTTAGCCTAACTCCTGGTGGTCTTTCTAGATATGTTTCCAATCTTGAATATAAAAAGTAATTAGACAATGCTTAAACAGTGGTTAAAGTAAATTGTCATATTCTGTGTTCCTCTACTGTAGCAGATATGGTTTAGGTTACATGGCCTGGGTCAAACATAACAACCATTCCTGTAGGGTTACAGAATGGTTGTTTCAAAAGTAGTATTTTATCATTTTTATTTTAGATACCCATCTTATTTTATAAATACTTTTTCTAACATTACTCATATACATTTAGAGCAATGAATACTTTTCTTTTTCCAATGTCAACTTGTAGGTCCTCGTTCTGACATGCAGACACCATGAAGAAGACCCATCCTATTCAATAAAGTTCACGTCTATACTATCTCTCTATATCACTGTATCCCTGCCAATAGCTTCAATGGGCAGAGACACCAATAACTTATTTTATATAGATGGACATAAAAGCAGAGGATACAAGATAGCTTCTAAACAAAGTACATAAAACAATATATAAAGAAGAAAAATGCTGGCATTAATTTAGACAAAAAAATGTTAATGATAAATAATCTCTATTTTATTACATCCAGCTTACAACCAATGCTCAGAAACACATAGCTGAGCATGTGTACTTCAACCTTTGTGGCAACTTTGGGATTACCTCTCACTACTTGTGAAATTTTGCAGTCAGGAAAAGTCCGTTACTCACTGGAAGTAATGTCGAGCACGGTAACGATACCAGCTCATACCATGTAGCTTGCAACAGGAATCTTACACTTCAAATGTTAGAGTTCTGAAAATAAGTTAGGAATAACAAGCAGCATAAAATAAAATGTATGTTATGAGAGGGTGAAAAACTATTCTTAAGTCATGCTTAGAATATCCCTTTAAGGACAACTAAAAACCAATAAGAGTCTATGCCATCATAACAATCCAAAACGGAACTTCTAACTCGTTTTTTGTTTATTGCTTAGTTTGCAAAGATAAATAAGCTGGAAAATGTGTCTTTTTGAAAGATCGTTAGGGGCCAGATTGCAAAGACCATAAAAATATACCCTTGGCCCTTAAGGGACACATTCCCTCCGATGACTAGCAAACTATGTAACTGGCATGTTTTATACAAATAAGTGAAAAACCTGTGTTTGTCTTCCTGTGCCAATCTTTGTGTAGCTCATAGAAAGTAGCGAGATTCAGTCTTTTTTCCTTTATACTAGTTTATCGAGTTATGTTCGATCCCTACTTTTTTTAATGTACCCAGGGTAGATCACATTATAAACATTATAATAATTGCAGCCAATTATTACCTTTTCTAAAGCTCCATTCTCTATGATAGATTGCTAGCCTTAGTGCAGCAGATGTTTGGTTGCGAGAGACTGCTTGACAAATCAGAAATAGAATAATATAACAGATTACATTCACAGATCTTTAAACCAGGAATGACCAGATTGGTTGTTTGTTCCCCATATTGTGGAATTCATTACTTTATCATCTTGTCTACTTGAGATGAAACGCGTTAGGCAAATGTTAAACTAGTGATATTTTTTAATGGCTACGCTTGTGTCTTGAAGGCATTGTCGAGTAAAACATGTTTCATTGTTCCCTTAACCCAAGTAGACCTTAGTAAATTTATGTTTTTATCATATTTTTGCTGCGCAATCTTGAGCACTTCTATTATTTTCAAAATCTGAGAACTAGCATTGGAGATCTGGGAAGGTACGTCTTGATTAGAGATATATTCTCTTTTTAAAATGGTTTCTGGTTTATCAAGCAAAATGTAGGTACAAACATGTTTTAAGGCTTCAATTTAATTTGTTTGAATCAGAAATTATTCCAATCTGTTCTGTTGTTATTATTATTAGTATTATTATTGCCATTAATATAGCGCCAACAGATTCCGTAGCGCTTTACAATATTATGAGAGGGGGATATTACTATAAATAGGACAATTACAAAAAACTTACAGGAACGATAGGTTGAATATCTACAGAAGTCACCATTAAAATGCGTCGGTATTAATTTGAAAAATGTTGTATAATTTCTGATGCCGAATGATTGAGACGTAATTTTGATTATCATTTATATAGAGACATGCAACTTTAGAATGTAAATAAATACAGTTTTGTTCAGGTTTGTGAGACTATGGCACTGAGCAATGGGAGCAATGATCCCCTTCTTCCAATACTTAGCCCTGGGTGGCTGAGATTAATGTGCATTACAATATGTGCCAACAGAACCGACTTTGCCAGGACAGTTACGCATTTCAGACTGCAGGAGGGAACTGGGTACTAGGATCGTAAAGTCAAGGTCTGCCCATTGCTTTCTGCCCTGTGCAGCCTGCTCTCCAGTGCCCACTTCTGTACCGGTAGGTGGTCAGAGAATATTAACAGGTATGCGTTGCTGAAATGGATCGTCTTAATTTCTATACATCGTTTTTCAGAGACACACTCCGCAGAAGCTCAGAAATTCTGAGAAATTTTAAAATTATTCTTCCCCTATATATAAAGAAAATCTTTGCTTCATTGCTCCTTTGATCAGAACATTTGCCAATAAGCACTTACCTGCCTACAATAATGTTGTTCTGTTACTGTGTAATATTCTCTGAGGAGTCTCAGCTCCTGTGATGTTTGGTGCATGCAGTGGCTCTCATTGTGCTATATTAAAAATATATGTCTTTTCAGAATGAAACTTGCCTATTTCTTGTCTTTTTCACTAACCAACCAATATCACACTAAATAGTTTTGCAAATAAAGTAATTGGAAAAGGTAAAAAGTAATAGTTATGCAGAGATCTCAAGGGACACTTTAAGGGACAATGTAAAAAAAAAACATTATCTTAATGAAGTGGTTTTGGTGTATAGATCAGGTGTCCGCCGTCTCACTGCTCAATTTTCTGCTAATTAGAAGTTAAAATGAAACAATAGTGCCAGAAAAACAATGTTGTTTTCATGGCACTATAGCTCCGTACAGTGCCCCCCTTCCTCGTTTGTCACTTACAAACTCAGCTCCACTCCCCCAGGAGAACAAAGAGGAGGCTCTTAAAAGGTAAGGAGAGGCCCCTTACACAAAAAGAAACACAGTAACAAAACAACTACACTACTGTCCAAGCAGAAGATCCTCTCAATTACCACTACTCCCCTTCTACATGTAGTGTGAGTCCCAGTACATAAAGTGATATAACTCCTAAATGGTAGATATTGAGAATGAGACTACAGGGTCATGATCTATACACCAAAACTGCTTCATCGAGGTAAAGTTGTTTGGGTGTCATCAATTAAAAAGAAACAATTAAAGGACCACAAAAGTCACCCAGGCCACAACTCAATGAACCATTCAAGGTAAAACATTGACTTGTTGTAGAAATGGCAATGTTTGCCTTGGAGGGTTGAACACACTTGCAGTTGCTGTTAATCTGATAGCCACTGGAGGCCTTTCTACTACAATTACGGAATGTTAATATGAAAGCTTTGATTCAATGAGGAAGCTTGCATGTGTGCACTGGGCTCACAGCGTATGTGCATCAGGTCCCCACTAATCCTCTATATGCAGTCTTGGAATGGACTATGCAGGTGGACACCATGCGTCCTCCATTACGTCACAGGAGGTGGTGAGGTAAGCAGAGCTCAGGGAGCTTCAGTGCCTTAAAAAGGAAAGCAAAAACGTCTATATATATATATATATATATATATATATATATATTTTTTTTACGTATGGCACACTAAGGGGACATCTCTAAATAGGTACAGGGATACTGGTTTACAGGTTTTTATTCGTATTGCTGAGAATGTTCTGTTAAGAAATATTCTCAGGATTACGGTTTAAACACAGAGCTTGGCTTACATCTAGTGGCCAAGTTACTAACTGCAGCCATAATAAACAAAGGGTTAAACAGGCTTGACAAAGACTACTGTGTTAGTTAAAACATTGCCACTTACTATGTCTATGCAGCAATAAAGGACAAGTCATTCCTTGAATTGTATTTATTTTGGATTCTTATGATGGTTTGAGGCGTCTATATGTTCATATGCATGCTTTACAACCATCCCAATGAATGGACAGTCCCGATTTTTGGGTCCTGCCCCACCTTCCTGACTTTGTTCCCTGGTGTGCCACTTTTGAGGACATCAGAGAAATGACCTCAAAAAAGTGTAGTACGAGTTCCTCATTAGACGTGCTTTCACTGCACTCAGAATGCTGGGACCCAGCACAGAGTGTTCAAACTGATGTCCTGCCATCAGTGGACCAGACTGCTTGATTGGCAGTCAGCCTGGTGTGCATTCATGCCATGATGATCTGCCAGTAATTTGGGTGGGGTGCCTCACTGGGCAATGCCAGTGACGTGATTGTGTCACTAGCCCACCCTTTTGGGGAGCCTATGCTCCATTTTGTTATATATGCAATATTAAGGGGAGAATGAATAAAATATACATTTAAAAAGCCAAAGGAAAAGGACATAGGAAAAGGACATTACAGAAATTAAATTGGACAAATCAAAGGCATTCTATATAAGATATAAAGAATCCAATACCGCAAGGAGATTAGATTGGCTTAACTAGAATGTGATAACTAAAGAGAGCAAAACCAACCCAAATATTTTTTACGCTCATAAATTCTAAAAAATTAGGAACACTAAAAACAGAGATGGGGGTGTTAGTTAATGAAGAACAGAAAAAAACTGACATTTTAAATAACTATTTTCCCTCAGTATACATTAGGGAGGATTCAATAGCAAGAATATGCAAATGATTGCTGCAAAAAGCTTGCAGAAATATTGTGATTGGATGACTCAAGACAAGGTGCTGCAGCAACTAAAGAAACTTCATGTAATAAAGCTCCAGGGCTTAATGGTATTCACCCAGAAGTAGCTAATGAGCTAAGTGTGGAAATAAGTATACCTCTGTTTTTATCTTTCAAGATTATTTTCCTTCAGGAATTATAGACATGTGAGCTTAACTTCTGTGGTTTGTAAAGTATTTGAAGTGTTATTAAAGGATAAAAATATACTGGAAAAAGCAATATCCAAAGACAGAGGCCCAAGCTGGTAGGTAAGAAATTATAGACAATAATACTCTCGAAAGGTGTCTAAAAGTAGTGTGATTAGATAAAGGAGATTCCCAGAAAAAGCTACAATGTACTATATAGACTTTATCAAATGAAGTTACATGCACAAGGTAACAATGGCTAAATAACGTTGTATAGTGGTGGAGACCTGTATTAAAATAAGTAAGTGGGGGGGGGCGTAACCGCGAAACAGAGCAGATGCCATTTTCCACAGCTCTGACGGTGCTCTTTCTAATACACCAAATATCATGAGCCTCCCTGCTCATCCTACCACCACGACCTGAGTACTTACCCTGCAGCATCCTCCGGTACCGGTACATGCCACTTTTTCAGAATTCTGGGCAGAAACGTCGGAAGAGGACCACCTCCCTACAGACCTGGACAAGCTGCTGGGTTCTATCCCGTTCCTGAGTGCCACAGAGCCGGATCCAGGAAGCAGGCCCACAATTGATCAGCCCACAACTATGGGTAAGCGCACACAGAAGTCACATCCAGGTACACAGACAGAGAGTCCCATGACATAGGGACCCTACTCCAGCGGCAGGCCCAGCACAAAATGGTGACCCAGGAGGAACAAGAGGCTCCAGCTGACCCCCTGAGACAAACGCAGGACAACAGCCACACTCAGTCCACGTTGCAGGGACTTGAACAGACCCCACACAACTGCCCAGATCTGTCAGCTCTTGCCACCAAACAAGATATCAAAAACCTTTTTACAGATTTCCGTCAGAAGCTGGCAGCAGATATAGCAGTAATTCAGGCTGACATGCAGGTGGTCACTAACAGGGTTCAAGCCACCGAAAAGGGTATCATAGATGTGAGGCAAGAAATGTCTAAAATGAAAGACTCACTACACAACATACAAACGACACAACGTGCATTCTCTCTACAACTTTCTACACTCGATCATTGCTCCAGAAGCAACAAACGTGAAATAAGGGGAGTGCCAGAGTCCATCATTATGGAGGAATTGTCACACTATCTAAGGCGACTAGTGGCCTCCCTGCTACTCCTGACACAAGCCAAAAAACTCATGTTTGACGGCATATTTAGTTCCAGAAAGTTTGCTGGTTGCTCCTTGTCAGGCGAGCATGGGGTTCCTGCTGGTCTGTGATGACTCCAGGATCTCTGGAAATGTAGTGGAAGGTGGCCACGTGGTCTGTCACATAATACAATGTGAGCAGGCTATTACTTTGCTCCAGAGGGATTTAAATAGATTGGGGAACTGGGCACTCAAATGGCAAAATAAATTGAATGTAGAAAAAATGCAAACTTTGCACTTCGGGGTAAAGAATGCATATGCAAATTATACCGTAAATGGTAGTGAATTATGGAAACCAACACACGAGAAGGATTTGGGAATTGTTATAGACAACACTGTGCAATGTCAACCAGACGTTGTTAGGACCAGTAAGGCATTGTTATGTATAAATATGGGCATTAATTCTTGGGATTTTGCCTCTTCATAAATCACTGGTAAGACCACACCTTTTAATGCTGTGCGATTTTGGGGATCTGTTCTAAAGAAGGATATTGTGACACTAGAAAAAAGTGCAGAGATGGGCTACAGAATTAAAAAAGAAATGGAACATATCAGCTATGAAGAAAGGTTAACAAATTTAAATCTCTTTAGTTTAGAAAAACTGTGCCTTAGAGGAGATGTGAAAGCATTAAAGGACCACTACAGTCACCCAGACCACTTCAGCTCAATGAAGTGGTCTGGGTGCCAGGTCCCCCAGGTTTTAACCCTGCAGCTGGAAACATAGCAGGGCCCCGATGGTGGGGGGACCTAAGGACTATATAGTGCCAGAAAAACTAGTTTGTTTTCCTGGCACTATAGTGGTCCTTTAATCCCTTAAGGACACATCACATGTGTGACATGTCATGATTCCCTTTTTATTCCACAAGTTTGGTCCTTAAGGGGTTAAACAAATCTATTCGGGGCCAGTACAAACCATTGTCTGAAAATCTATTCACAAACAGGACTATACATAGGACACAAGGTTCACACCTATTTAGACTGGAAGAAAGGAGATTTAGTCTAAGGCAAGGAATGTGATTTTTACAGTAAGAACAAAAAGGATGTGGAATTCTTTGCCTGAACTCGTGTTTTTATCAGAGTCTAAACAGATGTTTAAACAGAAACTGGATGAATACTTGCTACTTTCAAAAACATAAGATTCAGGGATATATATTTTCATTTGTGAGGTAATAGCTTATTGATTCAAAAGCTTATTGATCCAAAGAGACATCTGACTGCCAATATGGGATCATGAAGGGATTTTTCCTAGTTTTTATTGCAAAATTGAAAGTGGTTCAAACAGATTTTATTTTTTTGCCTTCTTTTGGATTAATAGCAAAAAAACGATTGGAGAAAGGTTGAATTTGATGGACGCATGTCTCTTTTCATCTATGTAACTATGTAAACCCTGCATTGAAGGGGAGAGTGCATTTGATGAAATGTCAAGTGATGACTCTTGGCCAATGAGCTAAGACCTGCACAGCCAAACTAGCTCAGGGCACTTATCTTCTGGCTCTCAATGGAAGAGTTGACCAGCACCTAAAGGATGACCGGTAAGTAGTCAAATCTTTTACTACTTACTTTGGGGGTGGTGCCAGGG